GAAACACCGAATCTACCAAGTTTTTTGCACTGTTGCTGGGGATTGACGTTTGATTTATGTCGTATTTTGTCATTTAATTATATTATATATTATATATTTCAATTGTTTATGCTCCTTTCTTTTTGCACAAGAAATTAAATGTACGAAACTGATTCGCATGATCTTTCTCGCTAGAAAAATACACAAATATATTAGGTAAAATTGTTTATAACTCTCATGTGGTTTCGAAATTCAGCGTAAAATCTCCCTATACTTTAAAAATTGCATTGTACCCCCTTATACTTTAAAAAATGTTGCATGAAACCCCACTACCAAGAAACTTTTCTCATGTGATAAAAAGATGATTTCCTATCTATATGTTTTGCATGACAGAGGGATTTCATGCAATATTTTTGAAAGTATAAGGGAGCGTCATGCAATTCTTTAAAATAAAGTGGGGATTTATGCTAAGTTTCGAAACCACAGAGTGGTTTCATGCAACATCTTTTAAAGTATAAGGCGGCGTCATGCAATTTTTAAAGTAGAGGGGAGATTTAAACTGAGTTTAGAAACCACAAAGGAGTTATGGACAATTTTGCCAATATATTATTGATGAAAACTACAACAAACTTATCTAAATATGGTTTGAAGACTCCATTCATCAATTCTGTGAAGGAATGAGAGCATTCGTCAACCCAAATGACATCACCATAAACTCATAGAGCCCTTAACAAGTTTAAAATATTGTTATCGGAATATCACCATCTGAAATATGAAACTGATGGTATTCCTATCTCAAATCTATTTTAAAAAACATAAAAATCTTGTTTTTTTTAGTTGATAAAAAAAGTCGTCAATCCTTGGGAGATGATACTTTTTCTTAATAGTAACTTGATTCGATAATCAATTTTTTAAAAATATTATTTCTTCTGTCTTAACTCAAAGTATTATTTTTACCATTTTCGTATATTCGATTTAAAATATCTATTTCATAGTTTAGTAAAAGTAATTATTATCCACCAAAATTAAAATGAAAACCCAAAAGCATTCAATGGTCAAAATAGTAGGAGAGACATAGAAAGCTACGTGGAAAGAAAAATTGTCATCATTGTCTTCCAGCTTGTACTACTCAAAAGTCAGTTTCGTTGAAATATATTACCTAGTAGGCCAAATGACTACTAGCAAATTTAAAACTTGGGATGATCGACTTGGACATTCTGGCAATGTAATGGTGAGACGAATTGTTGAAAATTCCAATGACCACTTATTGAAAAATAAAAATATTTTTAGTTCAAATAAATTTGCTTGTGTTGTCTATTTCCAAGGGAAGTTAATAATTAGGTCACTCCAACAAATGTTGGAACTAAATCCCTATGAGAAGAATTTAGGGTGATATTTGTGGACTCATAGATCCACTATGTGGATCATTCAAGTACTTTATGGTACCTATTGACGCGTCAACGCGATAGTCACATGTACGCTTGTTATCTACTCACAATCTAGCTTTTGCTAAACTACTTGCACAAATAATTATATTGTGAGCACAATTTCTCGATCACCCGATAACGAAAATACGTTTAGATAATACTTGAGAGTATTCATCACGTATATTTGATGATTACTGCATGTCAATTGAGATTACTATGGAACATCTTATTCCCTATGTACATACACAAAATGGCATGACTAAGTCCCTTATCAAAAGAAACAATTAATCGCTAGACCATTGTTAATGAGGTCTAAGCTTCTCGTATCAACTTGGGGACATGCTATATTACTTGCAGCACCCTCGTGAAAATAAGACCGACTAGTTATTACTATTATTCCACTACACAATTGGTATCTGACAATATACAAAATATATCTCACATGCGAATTTTGGGGTGTGCTGTTTATGTGTCAATTGCGCCACCGCAATGCATGAAAACGATACCTCAAAGAAGGTTGGGCATATATGTCGGGTATGAATCACCATCGATTGCAAAATATCTTGAACAAAAAACGGGTGATTTATTTACTGCAAGATTTACAAACTGTTATTTTGATAAATCTCATTTTCCTACATTAGGGGGAGAAATAATCAACTGAAAAAATAAATTTCGTGGAAATACCACTTGACTTTGGTGATCTTCGTACGAAACATAGTGAACTTGAAGTTCAAATAATTGTGCATTTGCAGAAAACTGCAAATTAGTTGTCTGCTATTTTTAATGATGTTGCTAGAGTCACAAAATCATATATTGCAACAGTAAATGCATCAGCTAAAATAAATATCTCAAAATGGAAACTACCGAGTTCTAGTGTACATACTGCCCGCGTAAAACGTGACAAACCGTTAGGTTCTAAGAATAAAAATCCACAAAAGAAGAAAATTGTTAGTATTGGTGAAGAGATCAATAATGATCAAATACTTGAAAAGGTTAGTACAACCCCTAAAAATATTGATACTAAAAATTCTAATGAAAGTGAAAATGAAGTCATTGAAACTTCTGTTAATTATACCACCAGTGGAAAATATTGGAACCGAAAGATATAAATATTGATAATGTATTTCCATATTCTGTAGCACTCGATATAATAAAAAAGTACGAGGATTATGAACCAAAATTAGTTGATGAATGCCGGAAAAGAGATGACTCAGCAAAATAGAAAGACGCAATTCATTCTAAATTGGACCCATTAAACGAAAAGTATTTGGCCTTATAGTCCAAATACCTGAAAATGCGAAACCTATCAACTACAGGTAGATGTTTGTGAGAAAAATAAATGAAAATAATGATATCACAATATATAAAGTAATACCTGTAGCCCAGGGTTTTTCTCAAAGACCGGACATTGATTTTGAAGAAACATATTCACCGATCATGGTGGAATAACATTCAGGTATTTGGTGAACTTGACAGTACGAGAAAATCTTGATATGTGATTAATTGATGTGGTTACTGTCTATCTTTATAACTCTTTAGACAATGATGTCTACATGAAAATTCCAAAAGGGTTTAACATACTCTAATCATACAAATTAAAACTAAAAGAATCATATTCCATCAAATTACAAAAATCTTTGTATAGACTGAAGCAATAATGCCGAATATGGTACAATTGTCTCAGCGAAAGCCTAACAAAAGAAAGTTATATAAATGACCCTATTTGTCCATGTGTTTTTATAAAGAAAATTGAGTTAGAATTTGTAATCATCGTTGTATATATTGATAATCTCAATTTATTTAGAACTCCTAATGAAATCTAGAAAGTTGTTGAATATCTGAAAAACGAGTTTGAGGTAAAAGATTTTGGAAAAGGCAAATTTTGCATCGGTTTGCAAATTGAACATTTGAAATGTGAAATCTTTATCCACAAACCAAATTATACCAAAATAGTACCGAAATTATTTTTTTATGGATAATCACATCCGCTAAGTACTCCAATGATCGTCAGAGCACTCGATCCAATAAAGAATCCATTTAAATCAAAAGAGAAAAATAAAGGAACACTTGGCTCAAAAGTGTCATATATAAGTGTCATATGCACATTAATGTACCTTGCCAACAGCACTCGATCTAACATATTATTTGCAGTAAATTTATTGTCAAGATTCAGTTTATCGCTTACTCGACAATATTGGAATGTGATTAAACACAATTTACGCTATCACCAATGAACAATTGATCTCAGGTTATTTTACTCGAAAGATTTTCGACATGAATTGATTAGTTTTGCCGATGCAGGATATTTATTTGATCTTTATAAAGCCAAGTCTCAAACTGGCTATATATTTACTTATGGCGAGACTGTGATCTTTTGGAGATCAATGAAACAAAATTTAACTGTCACTTATTCAAATCATGTTGAAATATTTACAATATATAAAGCTAGTCGAGAATGTGTTTGGTTGAGGTCGATGACTTATATTTTGAAACATTGCGGGTTAATACCTGACGAAAAAATTTCTCCAACTACATTGCATGAAGATAATATAACTTGTATAGCCTAATTGAAAGAGAGTTACATTAAAGGAGATAGAACAAAATATATTTCACAAAAAAAAAAATTCACTCATAATTCTCAACAAAATAGTTGAATCAATGTGCAACAAATTCGATCAGATAATATTTTGACGGATATATTAACCTAGGCATTACCAATTGCAACATTTGAAAAATTGGTAAAAAAATTGAAATTGGTTAAGGATCTCAAATAATGCTCAGATTATGGTAACAAATTAATACTCCCTCTATCCCAACTAAATTGTCTCATTTAGCTTAGGCACGGATTTTAAGAATTGTATTAGTAAAAATAATAATGATTTAATAAAAATAATTATAGATTAGGATAGATGACTAAATAGTTTAATTAACATAAAAAAAATTATAAATTATGAATTTTAAAATATGATTAAAATGTATAATTATATTTTTTTAAAAAATGACAAATTAGGTAAAACGAATAGAAATAGAATAATAGAACAAATTAAGTGAGACGGAAGAGTTTAAAAATATTATACTTTTTTTTTTCACTATATATGTTTTTTCTTACAAAATTTTTTCCTTTCGTAAAATTTTAACCACATGCACATTCTTTATATAAAGCATAAAGGAGAAGGGCTATAGATATATTCAGCTTATACTCTCTCCGTCCGTCTCTAACGTCACATTTATGTTTTAGGTCATTGTACTTAATATTAAAAATATCTTTATATTTGTATAATTTTTTTTAGATATCCTTTTATTAGTATTATAAGATATATATTTACAATTTTTTTCTTAATTTATACTATATTTTATATTTTAATATAATAATTAATATTTAAATATTAATACTTAAAAAATAAATGGTACTCGTAGAGTCGAAGATAATATAATACGACATACAAACAATGCGAAGAGTACATAAGGTCGACAACTTATGAATACCTAATGTTCATTTATTACCTAATACCTTGAATTGAGCTAAGGCTATGTAATACTATTATTAATAAATAAATATACAACAATAAATACATTAATAAATAAAATTAGCTCTATATGGATTTTCTAAACCACGTAATCACCCATTTAATCACAGTCGCATTCCTTGTCACCGCGATTCTGAATCGGTGGTGATTCAGTCTAGATTAGAGCAGAGCTACTTGGAGAAGAAGAGCTGAGCAGCTATGGATGGGCTGAAGTTGGAGCAGAGGCACGGCAAGGGGAGGGTCAGGGTAGGGAGGGTGTGGAGGGAGCCCAGCGGACGGCATCATATCGTCGAGTGGAACGTCAGCATCAGCCTTCTCTCCGATTGTCTGACCGCTTACACACATGGAGATAATTCCGATATTGTTGCTACGGATACCATGAAAAATACGGTGAGCGGGATTATTAATGTTTGATGGCTTTTAATCGGTGTGTTAAGCTCTGATTCAAGGAGTTTTTGAGGTTTAAGGCGTGCGGATGGATCTGTTGATGTGTTTACTTGTGCTTCGATTATGCTGCTGCTGAAATGATTCTTCTTCTTCTTCTTCTTTTTGCCTAAAGTCATGGGGTATCTTATCTTGAAGAATTTCTGGTGCTGTAATTTCTTTGTCGAGACCCTTTTTTTATTTGTTGCTATTTAACATATTCATCGAAAGTTGGTTGGTTCGTTAGATAACTGCAGAAGATGACCTTTATTTTAATTTCCGGATCTGATGTGTTGCATTATTAGTTTTCCCCTGAAATTTCGTAGTACTTTTCTGTTTAGTCTCATGAAATACTTTCAACATACCGTGAGAAAATTCACAGTTTATGGGCTATTCATGAGTGTTCCAAAATAAGTATTTCTGAATGGTCGGATAGGTGAATTTGTAGCGTTACCAGTTCGTGTGTGTTTGGCATATTAAGTGTGCATTTAACTTGTAATCTTGGTTTAATGTAAACCCACAATCTTGTGATAGCTAATGGGTGGTGTAATTTCATGTTTCATAATGGCTGTCATGTCTTGTCTTGATTGGTGTCACCTGAATCCTGTTCATTGACATTGGTTGGGTTTGGTGCAGGTGTATGCTAAAGCTAAAGAATGTAAGGTTCCACTCTCAGTAGAGGATTTTGCCATCATTCTTGGCAGGCACTTCACATCATTTTATCCAAAGGTAATAGTTTAAGTATTGTGGGAATCATGCGGTTGGGTGTTTGAGGTTAAACATAGCATAGCTTAAATTGAAGTAACCTCACTAAAAATTTATAAGTATTTGGAAAACCTTATATTGCTTTCAATGGCTAAGGATTCAATCTACAGGGTAAAGAAAAATTGAACAAATTTGTTGCCTGTCACATTGAGGATACCAACTATCAATCTACAGGGGAAGAAAACTGCATCAAAGACTGTGGAACTGATATCTGAATTATCTCTTTAAGTTTCTCTCTATCTTCTTATTGATGTCGTTAATGTTAGTGTGATGAATGAGTTTGCTGGTTTTCTACCCTTTAACATATATTTAATGGAGGACAAGTTGACGTTTATAATTTAAGGTAGCTTATTTGATCTACCAACTTAGACCTATGGTGTAACTCTTACTTTTATTTAGTGAAAAAGTGGTTTACATGTTTCTAATTGATAACACACTAAGTTAGGTTCATTGGTACAAAGTGAGTTGAATAATAAACTGAATTTCTACTTGCTTGTCCCAAGGGATTCTACCTTGTTTTTATTAGCAACTATGGTAAGCGAACATTGATTTCATTATCCCTTCTTAGGTTACTGCTGCAATAATCAATATAGTTGAGAAACCATGGGAGCGTATTCACATGAATGATCGACCACATGACCATGGTAACTGCGTATCACCCTTTGTATTCTGAATTATTCTTGACTGATAACTTCTTGTTTTGAATGATGTTGTCACTTTGTTCTTCATCTTTCTGGGTTGTTTGAGCCAGGGGGATTGTTGTTGACAAGAGGTGAAGTAGATTGTGTGATTTCTTACAATGATTCTTATGTCCTCTAAAGGTTTCAAGCTTGGAACTGAGAAGCACACAACTGAAGTCACAGTGCAGAAATCTGGAGGTCTGAAGATTCTATCGGGTGTTGAAGGATTGGCAGTGCTGAAGACAACCCAAGTTAGTTGATGCTAAATTCTCTGATTCTTTTTTTGTTACTTGTAGATCATTCTGGCATCGTTTTGCTTGAGCTGGTCTTGTCAGTTTATGACTTTATCTACTTGAGTATTTTTCTATCTATAGGCATATCAATGCCCGCATTTCCATACACTCCAGAAGGCACCATTGAGACAGCTCAATGTCTTTCTCATCTCTTTTGTAATTCATTTGAGTTTCATATCAATTATGTTGGTGTTTGCAATTTGTGGGTTTTGAAGTTAAGTTGATTTTTTAGATTATTAAGGGTTTGTTTGTTTAGTGATTTGGTTTGAGGTATATATTTTTATGTGAGGTGTATGAAATTGTGTAAGTAATATAAAAAATAATATTTTAGATTGAGTGTTGATTTTTTGTGAGATGATAAATATAGTATGTTATATATATATTGAGAATCGTGTCGAGGAAGAAATGGTGGAAGAACAAAGCCCTAAGTTCTTCATGTCCTTTTCTTATCCCTATAGGGGACTGGTCTTGCAAATTGCTTCAGTTTGTCTGAAAGGCTGTTCTCAATTAATTAATTTTTTATCTTATATTTTGAAGAAAAAAATGATGACTTCTTAGGACCAAAATTTATATCAATGCAGTAATAATGTGTTCCTTTCAACACATATGCCAAGCGTCCTTCAAAGTAAGTATATTTCAGAGCTAGTGGCATTATTTTATTTATGTAAGGTATATAACTAGGCAGCATAAGAATGGTATTTAAATAGTTTAATGGAGCCCAACATAGTGCAAGAAGTACGCGGAGTGGCCTTAGTACATTTTATGATAGCATGTCACTTGTCTTCAATCTGGATTGCCTAAGGCATATGCTAGTGCCTTTTCCATTGGCACTGTGGCATGCCAGATTGAAGAACAAAGCTTTATGTTCCTTGCTTACAAGAAAAGGCAGCACTTTTTCTTGAAGGAGAGAGGCTTTTCTTTTTGTTCACGGTTGAGGAAACATAGAATTCTTCCAAGAAGGGCTTCCACTTCTACCACCTACTGTAAATGATTTTAGTATCTACTCCTTGGCTGTGGTCGTTGTTGGCAACTCACCATCTATTTATCCTTCTTCCTCTGGCAGAGTGGCAATGCTTTATAATTTTATAGGGTTATTTTTAATTATTTATTTTCTACAGGGTTATGTTTACACTACCTGTTATTATTTCATTGTTTGCTTTTTGAATTCAGCTGTATTATTTTCACCTTTTGTGTGTGCGTTTATATGATTTATGTTTCCACCTCCTATACCTTCGCGCCCAGATACTTTATGTGTCATAACATGAAAAGATATATTATGCCCAACTAAAATATTATATATGCCTCAATATCCAAGTTTATTTTTTGTTATATTATTATGCTTAATTTATCGTATATGTAACATGATATATCAAATATGTGCCCTACTTTGATCCACTTGCCAGTTACAACTTTGAAATATTAGTATAAACACTGGAGTATATACTGTTGGCAGTCTGGTTTTGAAGGATTCATCAGGGATAGGTATACAATGTTGCCTGAAACACGAGAGAGAATCCTGGCAACAGAGATCAGTGCATCGTGGAGGTAACTTTATTTATTTGTTGCATTTGTTTTCTTCTCTCTGCAGTAAAGATTGGGGAAAAATTGTTAGTATTCTTGATAAATGACGTCCTCATGTCAGATGATGAATTTGGTTTTGCACTGAAGCTGAAGATGGTTTCCTGTTTCACATAAGATTAAATTTTGATGTAGATACCCTTTTGAAAGTCTTGCAAGCCTTCCGGAAAAACAATTATATTTCATGGAGAAATATACTGATGTGAAGAAAACTTTAATCGATACTTTCTATGGCCCTACGAAAGGCGGAGTATACAGTCCATCTGTTCAAACTACACTCTATCTCATGGCACAGGCCGTACTTGCCAGGTACTTGTTTTTCTTAAACTCTAGACATGTATGTCTGCCAATGATATAACTCTTCCACATTTCAATGTGTTGTTTAGAGAGGTATCTTAATACTCTTCCACTTATTCCAGGGTTCCGGATGTGTCATCGGTTCGGTTGAAAATGCCTAATCTTCACTTTCTGCCGGTTAACTTGTCAAGCAAAGATAATCCAGCTATTGTTAAGGTACATTCTTGTAGTTCTTCTCCAACTACGTAGTTTAATTATAAGGTAAATTATATAACACTTACTTATATTTTTAGTAAAAATGCACAAGGTATTTTATTTATTGCGTAAAACTCTCTTGTGTTAATGTAAATTTTGCACAATACATCCTCATTGTCAAAAATAGATATTTGCTTCTAAATAAAGACCTAAATTATGCAATGTTTTATACAAATAAAAATACGCAAAATATTTTAAATAATTTTTTTGAATACAATAAATAATTAAATAAAACTTGTACAAAACTTGCATTTTGGGCCTTTATTTAACAAAGAGAGTATTTCGTGCAAACTTTACATTAACACAAGGGGTTTAACGCAGTAAATAAAACGCATGACGCTTTGTGTATTTTTACTAAAAACATAAGGGGTAGGGGTGTAATATAATTTACCCTTAATTATATATCTGCTGACATGGATGAGCATGAGCATTGTCTAAATTAGTGTTTTTGGTTGTATATGTATATAAATTTAACCGGATAACTCTTACAGTTTGAAGACGATGTGTATCTGCCGACAGACGAGCCACATGGAACTATAGAAGCAACTGTGAGCCGTGGGGGCTTACCGTCGAGGATGTGAAAGTTGTGAATAGAGAGAGAGGTATGTAAAATAAGCAGCCCCAACCCCTTTGTTATGGAGATAGTCTGTGTTTCGAGTGGGGGGACAATTGCTTGGCAATAAAAGATTTGGTAAATCCAGCAACTAACTAACTCCATATATATATATATATATATATCAAAATGGCAATCACAACTCGAAGTCCTCGAACACCATATCTGTTTATGTTGGAATACTCTTTCATCAAACAAGAATAAACTCGATCTTTTATTTTTTTAAAAAAATTAGAATGAACACTGGATAAACTTTGTGATTACTACTCACCCATCCTTTCTTATTTTCCTACTCCTAATTTTATATGTGTATGTGTGTGCATATATATAGGTGAATTCATCAGATAGTGAATGTTGTTATATTATATAAGAACCTCGGGCGAGGTTCGCGTATGGTTAGCTTCTTGTCATCCATCATCATAGGGTTGTTCATTGTCATCATCTTCGTCTTTCCAGTATAGTCATTGTTGCAGAGATTCCACCGGTAATACAATATGCTCGGATTGTTTACACTTGTTGAATTTTTATAGTATCCTCTCTTCCACACAGACGTCTGGAAGAATACCAACTTGTTTATTATTTTACATGATGTCCATCGCCAAACACGATTTATATTAATAAGAATGTGTTCAAATACTAAAAATAAAGCGAAAAACTAAAATATGCTAATTTAATTTCGGAATTAAAAAAAACATTCGAGGAAATAGAGATCTAAAACTTTTTGTGCAAATAGATCTACTAAAATTTATCCAAGAAAATTTAAACAATAAAAATTTGAACATCAATAGTTATTTATATCATATCATTATTCTAATTCAAATTTTTTACTATTGAAATCTCGATTCAAAATTCAATCTTCCAAACAAACAAGCCCTACGAAAAAAGAAAGAATACAGGTGTGTTTGATAAGAGGCTTTTATTTTATGCATTTGGCCATACTGTAAATACTCTCAAGGAACTTGTGTCCCAGGCTCTTGACAAAGTGGAGATCGGAGTAAATGTAATACTCACTTATGAGGTCTAGGTAGGTAGCTAGACCCTCATTTTACTAGAGAGTTGTTCAGGCCCATTCTCTCAAACAACACACTATATATTGGCTCTATCCGGCTTTAAGAATCTTATTTACCTTTTGCTTCATTATATTTAATATTACGAATATTTTTATACGCAAAAAGTAAATAGAAACTTGTATTATTGAACCCAACGCGAAACAAGCAACCAAAGCAAGCCCTTTTAAGGATGGATTCTGAGCTAGCTATAAATTTATCGGTCATGTCACACGATTTTATTATGATGAGTAAGAAAGATAATTCACCCCATACATCACCGGACTTATTTTTTTTTTTATAACATGAAAACCCACAGCCGCTACCCGAAAGTGCGCACTGGATAAACCCCCAGCCAAACTTAATACTTTGCAAACTAGACTCGATAGGCAAGTCACACTAAGCGAACCATATTTGACAGGTGATTTGAGGCGTCGAAAATTTGAACTCATAACAGGTCACAAGTCCAATAACAAAAGTGGTTATTGTTATTATATTATTGTTTGGTATATATGGTTAGTGGGGAGGGTTGGTTTTGTGTTTGGTTTGGTTATCATTATCAACCAGGTTAGGTTAAGGGATTGTGTTTGTTTGTGTGTAATGAAACTCTATCTGCAGGCGACGGTGATGCAGCTGGCTAAGAAGTAGAGGCATTTCCAATTCCATTTCCCTTTCCCTTTCCCTTTCCCTTTTCTTCTTGAGGATATCCTCCTGCACTTCCCTAATCGGAATTGCCGCCATAAACTTCTTCATGTACTCTCTGCACGTCTCTTTCCCCTTAACACTACTTGTCCTTCTTCTTGCTATTGGTATTACCCTTTTCTCGTCCTTGTCGTTTTCGATTTCGTTTTCCTCCATTGCTGGAGCTTCATCATCCTCTTCAATTGTAGTCGTCGTCATCATCGTCGTATCTTTATCGAACTTCAAGATGAAGGCTTGCCTCCCGCCCTCCTCAAGCCTCTCCCCCAACGTCTCGATTACGTAATACCTATCCCATTCCACCTTCACCACAAAAAAATGGTCGTTCCAGCTCACTATGTACACCAACGCCTCACTCCGCGCGCACATCTCCGACGCCCGCCCGCTGATCTCATCCCAAATGCCGTCGAACGTCATCGCACCTTCCAAGAAATCCAACCCGTCCGGCTCGAAGAACCCCACAAACGATTTCTCGGGGACTAGCGACACCGGCCGCACTCTAGCCTCCTCGAGGATCGTCTCGAGATCGAAATGCTTGTCCGGGAATTTTCCCGCGTAAACCTCGTCCTCGCAGAGATTCCTCCACTCCAGCGAACCGTCGCGTATAAGAGCGTCGAATTGGGACTTGACGGGCATCACGCCGGGGTTGGAGTGGAGCCAATGAGCAACAAGGGCCACGAGAGCCGTGCATGCGCCTTCGCCCGCGGCTCGTTCGCTCCTCTGGTCGATCGAAGCCAAGAAAACTTGCGTTTTTAATTTCGTTACTCCGTCGCGGCTCGTTATCTCCTTCTGCTCCCATTCACCCACCGTGAAACTATCCTCGTCAAATTCACCGACGTACGCTTCATCGTTTGCGTTCCGATCCGAGAAGCTCAGCTGCCTGCGGTCGTGATCAATGTCGTCTCCGCCTTCTTCCCCGTAATATTTCTTCAATAACGGCTCTCCTTTACGGGAACTGAAACCTAGTTTCCTTTTTCTCCATGGGAGAAGTCCGCGCTTCGGATTGGACGAAACGGGACAATCCAAAACCGAGATAGGGGAGGCATCCGATCGGCGGTGGCTGAAATAAACAAAATCATCGTCCTCGCTGCTACCGCTCGTGTTCGTGTAACCGGCTGCTCCTCCAACATGATTTGCATATGCCAAAGTCTCGTAACTTAATGATTTCCCGACAGAAGGGTTCTGCTCATTTGGTTCCTCCAAGACTGCTGCTTCGTATGAGCCATCCGACGAATCTGTGTCGAGTGTGGAATTGAAATCTGTGTCAGAGATGTTCCTTCCGTCACTGCCCTCGTCGTGGCTTGGCCGCTTAGCCCTCAGGGAATACAACCCCTTCAAGATGTTATTCACATTCACACCTCTCGGGCTTGTTTTGCGAGCCGGGATGTTTTCTGATTTCTCAGTAGAAAGAACTTCTCCGTAACAAGGAGACCGTGGGAACGATAGAACAGGTGGTTTTGGCGTTGTACCAGATGGCCCATCAGGATTTCTCCATTTTACAAGATCAATCGATAGCTGCATTCATAGGCAAAATAGTGTGTGATTAATGATACAGTTTTTTCTATATAGTTGAACTTTTAAGTAAAATAGCTGTTTTATAAAATAAGAACAAGATATGGTAAGAGCTAGGTACTGCATACATGGAGGATGGGAGTGCTGCTACCAATAGGAGGATCATCAAGTATAGACAATGGAATGTCGATTTCCTGGCTGTGTTTATCGGATTCGGATGCAAACTCTGCTAGATTCAAGGATGCAGTGCCGATCACCGGGACTATATCGGCAGCCCCTTGCTTTGAAGCCTGTCATTGCATAGTGAGTATACTTGAATTGAATGGCTAAGTGTAAAAAACAAAGGCAAAATAATCACACAACTCAACATCAACAATAGCCAGACTCAAATTGAATGAGACTTTCTCATGAGAGAGATCACAGAGATGCTATCATGTTCGACAATCAACGCAGTGAAGTATATACATAAATCTGTTAGGAAAAAGCTTGGTGTTCTCGAAGAATCCGAGACGTCATCGTAATCGACCAAAGTTTCGGAAAAAAAGGCAATAATCAACATCAAATTTTGCATACGAATAAACAACTAATACGCAGTTTTAGGTCAGACAATGGAAACAAATCGAAAGAATTGCAGGTTAAAATCAGAAGCTAAAAGAAGGTTGAAGAGAAAAAAACTCACAGCGAAAACCGTAAACGAAACCTCCCATGGATGAAAGGCGCCTTCCTTGTACGCGGAAAAGTTGCAGAGAGAGCAAAAATGTTCTTCCCAATCGACAATCCCGTCGTCGTTTAGAAGCTCTTCCTTGGTGAAATTCCTTCTCACTGTTCGCTGAAAAAGGAAACCGATTCGGATTCCCTTGGAACTGCCTTTCCACTTGATACCAACCGAATAAAAGGATTTCTGAGAATCCTCGTTTGGTTGGGGAAGGCCTCGGAGGTGATGGACGGTGATTTTGGTCTGGAATTTCTCGGAGCAGAGGGATGGCTGCTGCCATGGCGGCCTCCATTTGATCATCCTCACCACCATTGTTTGTGCTGTTGACTTTGGAACAATTAATTGAACGAAAAACACGTCTCCTTCTCGACTTATGACCCATTTATATACACCAGCCAAATTTGTTTCATTTCACCCTTTTGTTGTTTTGCTCGCCGGGTTTTGGCTTTGGCTTTTATTATTTTAACACTTTATTTTCAAAAATATTAAATTAGACATTAATTTCTTATTTATTACTCATACGGTTAAACATACATATTTTTATTTTAGAATTTCAAATTATAAAATAATCATTTTAATTAAATATTTTATTTTTTTTCTTTTCACATATACATTTACTTTACCTTTACTTTACTTTTATTTTACACCACATTATTATTTTTATAACGTAAAAATATTATTACACTTACTTTTAATTATCAATTATAATTAAAATATTACTCCCTCCGTCCCAAACAAAGTGGAAATATTTACTTTTACAAGGAGTTCTTAGGTGGGTAGTAGTAAGTAGGATAATTTAGAAATTAGGTGATGCGACAGAAAGAGAAATATATATTTTAATTTAGGTGATGTGATGGAAAGAGAAATATATATTTTATTTTTTTTATTTGGATGATACCAGGGGATAAAGTGTGGGGTAGAGATTAAGTATAATTAATTAATTATTTTCTATTTTAAAAATATTGTAGAGTATTTGAGACATACAAAAGAGAAATGTAACAGGGTGTTTGAGACGTAGATTTCTTGACCGTAAGGAAGAAGTATATTATACTTGGTTTAAAATGACCTTTTTTTTTTTACACTATAATTTAAATAATATAAATTAATTAAGATAATAAAAAATAATTATTTAATAACGGTATATAATAAAAATATATTATCCTATATAATTAAAAAAATTAAAATATACATTTAAATATTTTTAATATAATATTTCAATAAAATATATATAATATAAATATCATTATATAGAAAATAAAATTATATATAATACTATTATTACCATAAATTATATTTATAAAAAAATTAGAAGTTTTAAAGATATATAAAAATATTTGTTAATTGAATAAATAAATAAAATTAAAAGAATTTTGAGTTGATCATATATACAAAATATTAAATTTAATTTTATATTTAAAGTATTATATTACTAATATATTTATATCATATCAAACAATTTTATTATGTTAAACTCAAGGGTATTTGACAAATAGTTTTTTGAAGAGCTTTTAGCTTATTGAACAGCTTTTAGCTGTTTGACCAGTCAAAAAGTTAATTTAGGTGTTTGATAAATTAGTTTTTTGGAATAGCTTTTTGAACCCAAAAAGCTAACTTACCCAACGTTTTGAAATAGTTTTTTCTGTAAAATTTTTTTTTTATTCTTTATATGCCCTTAAAAATTTATTATATATTTTACACAAATAAATATATTTTGATTATTTATTAATTATATTAGAATATTTTATTATATTATAGTTTTACTTTTATAAATTTAAAATAATTAATTTTTATATAAAAATTATTTTAATTGTAAAATATATAAATTTATTAAATCAACATAAAATAAAAAATATAAATATTAATAATTTATTTTTTTATTAAAATTACATATATAAATTTTATACTAAAAATAAATTAAATAAATTAAATTTATTGAAAATTATAAATATAATGAACTAATCGATAACTAACATAATAAATATATACACAAAAAATTTATTATTTTATATTTTACATCATTTTCAATAAAAAAAAACTATTTATATATTTTAATAAAAATATAATATTTTTTAAATCTAACAGTAATAAAAATAAATACTTTTATAACACTTTTACAATTTTCAATAACTAATAATAAAAAATTTTAAACATTCTAAACTCATAAAAACATAATTGAATATATTAGAAACAAAAATAAAATAGAAATATCCTCAATTGTCATTTTATGTATAAACAGCTACTATCAAACAATTGTTTTACCAAACATTTTAATACAAACAGCTAATCGAATCAGCTAGTCAAACCAGCTAATTGAATCAGCTAACAACTAACAGCTATCGACTAATTGTCAAGCTCGCCCTCAATAAAAAAAAACTAAAACAACCCCAAACAAATACAAATATTTTTATTTATCTATGTTACTAGTGGCTCCATATTATTGTTAATAATAAAAATATTTATTTAGACGTAGATAATATAAAATTTTAAAAATTTTAAAAAAATTAAAAAAATAAAAATCATGATTTGATATTTTATAAAAAATATATATTTGATATAGTATTTTAAAATATTATCAAATAAATAATGTAAAATTTTCAAAAATATTTAGATATAAACAAAATTGTTTTTTTTTTTTTCTTTTTTGCGTGTGTCTAATAAAAACTTAGACAAATTGAAATAGCTGTTTGGGAGAGGGTTAAAATAGTAAAATCGCAATGGGATAGACTTTGGTCTTTGGGGCTACAAACTCAACGCAGAGTGGGCCGGCAATAAAGCAATGAATGAATAATTAATTAATTAAATAAATAATTAATTAATTAACTGTATCTTTCTGCAATGAAAGCAACACCCACTAACCTAACATCAGAACCAACGTTACTTTCATCATCGCCATTATCATTATTACTCAAATTATCATTTTTTATTACCGCCAAGCCCATTTCTTAATTGTATTTTTTAATAGGCTCTTTTTAGTACATACTCTTTCCGTTCGCTTCTAAAAGTATAATTTATCTTTTACATTATTATATTAATATTAAAAATATTTTATATTAATATTCCTTCTGTTTTATGTACGTAATTTTAGAAATATTAGTATTATATTGGGATATAGTAGGAATAAAGTAGTAATGACTAAAATACCTGTATGTGTGATATAATAGTAATGACATTTGTGTAATATATTGTAAATTATAAAGGTATTTGTAATGTTAGGTAGATAGTACAGTTACTTAATAAAAAAAATAAAATACTTTATTATGGGATGGATTAAAATAGAAAAAATAATACTTTGTTATGGGACGAATGAAGTATAATTATTTATTTATTTTTTTTATAAATATTATTATATTAGTATCATAAAACACGCAAGTATTTTTAAAATTATTTGCAAGAAACGGTATTAATTCAATTGAGAATCTTAAATTCATTCTTGCGTTTATATATGTAGTGCGAAAAAATAGAACTAATTATTTTGCTTTATTTTAAAAAATTCATTCTCGTGTTCTTTCATAGTAGCGTCTATGCTATCGCCCCTATATTAAGTGTTTGTCAAGACATAATATTACTTTCACTTAATGGTTATTAAGGAAATTATAAAATTAATTGTGCATATCATCAACCATAAAGGCGGATCCAGTATTAGGCAAAGTGGGTTAATTGATTCAGAAAAAAAAATTTAAAAATAATACTAATTATCACTAAATTACAAATATATTTTTAAATATTAATTTTATTTTTATTTTATAAATCAGTTTCAGTATTTGACAAGACTCACCGAAAGAAGTATTGATGTCTTGTTTATTTCTCTCAAATCGACTTTCCTCTTTTAATAAAAAGATATTGCAACTACGTGCATAATTATATTCTACAGAATTATCAGAAGCAAAATTAATGAATTTAGAATTATTATTAGATAATTTCATTATTGATATTTAATGTGATAAATTATTTTGGGATTTAAAGAATTTAAATGAACAATTTATGAAACTTGTTGAGAAAAAGAAAAATAGCAACTGCAAACGTAAAAAGATCATTTTCAACTATAAGTATCATCAAGAAAAAATTACGGAACAACATGGAAGAGTAACTATTAAATGATTGTTTCGTTACTTTTCAAGAAATAAACGTGTTTACGAAAGTTAGTATAAATATTATTGTTAGCCTATACCAAAATATAAGATATAACTATTTTCATGTATAAGTGATTATTAATTTCAAATTTCGTATTTTTCTAATATAAATTTTTGTTGATATATTTATTTATTTTAATTTTAATTTATCGACCACTGTCGAAAATTTGTACCCTCTATCCGAACTGAACTGATGAACATGTAGAGAAATTTAACTAATTGCTGCTGTAAATTTTAACGTCGTAAAGGTGTGTTGTTTGGAAGATTCTCTCCAAATTTTACTATTCATCAAAAAAATTTCTCCCAAAAATATTGAATAAAAAACACCTATTTTTCAATTTTTTATATTAGTCTACCTCCGTTCCGCTCCAAAGAATTTCGTATTGATATTTAAATATTAATTATTATATCAAAGCTAAATACAAATTATAAAAATTGCAAAAATACTTTCATTGGTGTTTTATAATATTAATAGAATGACATTTGTAAAAAAAATTATACAAATATAAAAATATTTTTAATATTAAGTAAAAAGCGCAAAAAGTAAATATAACCCTTAGACGCGGACGGAGGGAGTATTAAAAATCAATTTTATATTTCAAACATCGTATCAACACCTATTTATATTAGGTTGTACAACTATTTAAATTTAAAATTTTTTCCGTTCAAATCCCAACTCAAAATCCAAACCCGCAAACAAACATACCTAAAAGATTAGATTATTACAATGGTATGATTCTACGCCCAGCCCACAATATAAGACCTAATCTCACGCACAAAGATTTGACCTAATCTTAAAAATAACGAATGAATAGAAGAGCATAAATATGAATGACTTCCATCACCTAAAACAAATTGAACCAATTCTAATTTATTTTATTTTTTTTTTCAAGAATGATCATGTCATCGTACGGCGGTTCAATTCAATTACACAAACTTTACCATATGGTAAGAACTTTATCTTCTGAATTTCCAAGTATTAAATTTAGTAATTCAATAAGCATGCAATTGAAATTTAAATAGGCTAGCATAAAATTAAATTCCCCCAAACTCCATAGCATTCATGCCTGAATGGAAAGTGCAAACTATATATATGCCACAATTTTTATGTTAACCATAAATTTTATGATGTATTAGTGTAGAGAACAGCTAAATTTTGATTAAAATTGTAGTCTCAAAACTCATGCGTACCTAGAAACATAACCAAGCTCCGCCGGCAAGATAGTTCATTCGATTTTAAGCCTGCACGGTTCCTCTGTCACTACTCTGGCTAACAAAAGTGCCGACAGTTTTGAACCAGCGCATGAGATCCCTGTGATCTTTCACATACAACCAAGCCTGTAAAAACGGGAAGAGGCTCTCGTTTATCCCGCGCTCGTCTATATAACCATGGAGGGTATCTCGAAGCTTCTCATCCACCTCCCTGCAAATTGTACAACAAAATTGTTAGGTTGTGTTTTTTTGTGAATTTTACCACAGACCTTTTATTATTCAGATTTTTTTCTTCCTAAAAAAATATCACATCAAACAATTATTTTTCTTTTTTTTATATTATACTATAAATTTATTTTACATTCAAAACATCACATCAGCCTCTATTTATATCACATCAAACCACTATTTAAATTCAACTTTTTACTATTCAAAAATCCAAACCCCAAAACTAAAATCCACAAACAAAATTAGATACTACTAGAAAGAAAGCCAGTATTGGAAATATCACCATGGAAAACAAGAGTTAAAAGTGTGCAAAGATGAAAGTAACACCAGAAACACCAATCTTGCATTGAGGTTACAACAAACCCATTACTGGAAATTTCACCATGTAAAACAAGAGCATAGAGTTGTGCAAAGATGAAGTAACATCAGAATCACCGATCTTGCATTGTTATTACAACAAACATACTGCTGAAAATTAGCGTAAGTGTTCAAATAAGACTTGTGGTGCAAAAACTTCAACAAGAACACTGACAAAATCCCAGGTCTACAAGAAGGAAGTCATGGGCTCTACATCTTTCTCCATCCTTGAGTTGGTCTGAGCAGACAGTAACCGGACCAAATTCAATTATCCAGACCCGAACGGGATTAGAATTGAGGGTGTGTTCACTTGTTTTTTTTTTTTTTTCGTCCAATTTTTTACTATTCAATCTATCATTTCCCTGAAAAACTAAATCACATCTAATACTAATTTTCATTCAGAACATCACACATCCAATTGCTGTTTCACCTCAAAAACATAAGAAATAAAACATACAAAACAAAAGGAAAAACACAAATGAATACACTGGATGTAGACATGCAAACTGGAATAGTTTGTTAAAAACAAAAGTGAGAAAACCAGTGTGAGCATTATGGAAAATGCAGCAAAATCAGTACAAGAATACCAATAAAAAAATATGTAACATGCAATAAAAACCTTTAAAAAATATGTGACATGCAAATATAATTGTTTACAAGGTGAAAATGATTGTTGGATGTGGTATTTTATATGGAAAATAAGTGTTGGTTGTGATGGTTTTGAAAGGTTAATAAAAAGATTGAATAGTAAAAAAATAGAGGGAAAAACATGAAAGAACAAAGCCTGGATTTTAAAGTCTCTAAGCTAATTACTAATTCTGCAGTTGTAAATAGCACATACAGCAAAGCACCAGCCATAAGAATTAATATATATAAAACTATATTTAAGATACAGGCACACACATATATGCAATGAATATAACAAAGTTTCAACAAGCAAAATTAATCATTCAAACACCTCAATTTCAAAAATAAATTAAAAGGCACAATAGTCTTAAACTAAGACAACTATGCATATTTCAAAACAAAAAGTTGTGCTCCGATTAAATAAAAAACAAAAAACAAAAAACAAAACAAAGAAAAAGAAAAGAAAAAACATAAGGGTGTGTTAGTTTGTGGGGTTGGGTTTTAAATAGTAAAATTTGAAATTGAAACAATTTCTTTGTTGTATAAATAGATATTGATGTGATAATTTAAATATAAAATTATTTTATAGTGTAGTATAGAGAAAAAAAAAAAAATAGGTATTTCATTTGATATTTTTTAAGAGAAAAAAAAATAAAAAATAAAAATCTATGCATAGCAAAGACCTTATAAATCCTACAACCAAGCAATAAGTCTTGATCATCAAATTTTATATTATCTCATTCTCACCATCAAGTTTATAGTTGTCATTGTTATCTTCACCAAACACTTCAATCTTGGAGTGTGTTCCCTTGTGTTTCCATTTCCGACTTTTTACTTTTCAAACTACCATTTTTCCTTCTAAAAATATAACATCCAGCACCCATTTTCCGTACAAAAATTTTCATCCAACAACAATTTTGACTTCAAAAACATTAAAATTAAAAACAAAACCAAAACAAGTGAACACACCCTTATTATTATTTTCAACAATAATAATAATGATAATAATGTGTATACCAAAGTTCAATCTTAAGCAATTCAATGTTATACTTAATATTTTTTTACTTGCCAAAAAGATTCTAGCATGGATATTCATCCGGAGCAGGAGAAATGAGCAGCTAAGAAAAAGAGGATGTCACCTACTGCTATGAATTTCATTATGGACACAAATGTTTCAAAACATAAAAAATGAAGACAACTACTTAAGTATGATTGAACACTTAAAAATAAAGCAGAAAATGGTTGTTCAGCTTTCTGCATTGTGGATGCACAGTGCAGGGTTGTCATTCAATTGTGTTGCAATGAGAATATCGCTCCCATGATCGAAGTTTTCAAGGTATGTAAGCATGGAACAAAGCCACTTACATTTCACAAAGTGAGGGTGAACTATTTGAAAAAGGAGTTAGATCACATCACACAACTCAACTCAACTGCTAAAGAGCAAGATTTACATGGATGTTCTGTGAAGGCAGATGGCTGGACAAACAGAAAAAACAGAACAATGATTAATGATTTAGTGAACTGTTCAAGAAGCTCAAGATTTGCTGAGTTGATTGATGCTTTATATTATACACATACTGAGGAGAAAATATTTGAACTTTAGAAAACTTCTGTCGAATTTGTTCATCAAAGGCAGGTTTCAAGTAATTACTAATTAGTTGTGGTGCCAATCCTATGAGTAAAAATGTTTAAATGAAGTATTAATTAAATTTGTAATTTTTAGAAATATACATGTATTACTGATTTTGTTAACATAGATATATATTTTCAATATATGGGGACAAAATCTTTAGGAGGAATTCCAACATTTGCATTGGACTCCTTACACAACACATAGCATTCATTTGACTTCTGAAGCTATATTAATGTCCCTTCTCTTTAGAGAACAGATGATAGGCCTCAAATCTTGCAAAAGATAGTTTGAGTTGCTAAATCTTGATTCATTACAGCATTTTTCACTCTAAAATGCTATCTTGAGAAAGCAGATTCGAGAAAGATATTCACCTCTGAAGCATAGGCCAAAGAAAAATTTTTGATGTGGGTGTCATTCTTTTGAAGAGCTCTTTTTGGAATCATGTATAGCTTATACCTTGAAAATTGGTGAACTTTTGTTAGGAGTTCTTCACTTGGTGAAAGGTTATATAATTAGAACCTGATTCTCAATGAGGTACCCGATAGTTAATTTAATTTCAAAGTTCAATAAAATATATCATAATATTAATATAAATTGTATAATGTGATTTTAACATATACTATTGATATATAAACATGAATTCTATAATATACGTATATGTTTCTAGGCTCTATAGTTTTGCTGCTATTAGTATTAATATTTTTTGTTGGATATTCCATCATGCATGCAACATGTTTTCTTAAATTCAATAATATTTTTAGCTAGTGAATTATTCATGAAAAAAAGTCAAGAGGAGTATATGTTTGTTGTTAGAATTTAGAAAGAACAGATTATGTTGATGTTATATTATATTAAATGTTTTGCTTTTATGTATTACATTGAAGCGAAAAAATCTAGCCATGTAAAGAAATAAAGTTCCAGATAAACACACCCGTGCTATCATTTCCCAACAAAAATGTCATAGAAATAACAATTAGAAAAGAAAGTCAGCAGCTATCAATAAAATAAAGTTGCATTTAAAAGCATGTTAAAGGAAATAAATCAACTACGACAGCTTCCTTATGCATCTCCACATAATCATCACAAATAACTTTAGGTGACTCATAAGAAGACAAGTATACTTACTCAAAAACTGGACCAGTGTACTTCTTTGGAACCTCAAGAAACCCTGATGACTCTGACTTTTGCCTTAGTGAAACTGAATGAATGCCTAAAGCATCTGGATACAGTCCACACAGGAAATGGAGTGAATCTTTCAAGCCTGGCTTTGAAATATCGACATGAACAAATAACTGATTAATGCTTTCATTGATATTGTCATCTGAAGGTACAAGATCAACCAATCTCATTACTGATATGTTGATCTCCTCATCCTTGAAGTGGCGGTTCAGAACAGGACCCCCACTATCGAGTGCTCCCTTTACAACTGTGTATGGAGAAGGAGGGCTGATTTTCTGCAAAATGTTAAATAGCATTAACTACAAGTAAGCAATAAAACAGGACTCATTCAACCCTCCATCATAAGCATCTCAAAAACCACTGGTTTTAATTAGTGTTCCAATAAGAAAATTTAGCAAGAGATGGTACAAGTAAATTAATATCTCCACCAAATTTTGAAGAAAAAAAAGCCAACATAGTTGAAGTTACTAGAACACAGGGTATTAAAATGTCCTTTACTGATTGATATCTATCAGCAACAGAAGCAGGGCAGGCATGATCAGCCAAGCTGGAGCAACCACCAGTTGGACCTGCGACAAGCCCGAGACCACCAGTAGTCTACACGCAGCGAGACAACAGGACAGGCCCAGTTTCGATTTCTTGTGCAACCCACCGCAAGAACAAAGTTCTTAATGCATAAGCCCCTAACAGTACATATGCGTTTGATGGAGGAACAAAGAAACAGCATCTACACACACAAATAATTATTCATTGAAAAAAATCCCTTATTTGACAAACTGTTTCATCTATTATATTGTAATATTAACTAATTAGATCCGAAGGACATTAAAATACGCATACATTCACATACTGAAAATGAAAATACACAAGAACAAAAACAATCTACAGAAAAATCACAGTAAATACCCAACATATATCACAAAGCTTATAAGAATTAAGCTCTTGTACACCAAAACATTATTCGCAACACAAAGCGCACTGGACACTTCCACGCAAACGGCATCTCACACGCGATGATACACGCTGCTCATTATCGACGGTTAAATCACGAGACAAAAAATAAAAATACACAAATACGTGAAGTAACTCACAGGAGGAGGGGTCATTTTGGAAATTTCTTGGTAATGGTCTTTAAGGGAGCGGAGGATGATATTGTTCACCGCGTACGAGGCTGTGGACGAAGATGGTAGGGATGCCATCGCGCGCCGGACCTGCAACGTCTGCCTAGCAATTGCGCCACCGGCGCAAACGAGAGTCTTCCGCCACATGGTGTAGGGCACCGCCGCTTTGCATCCCCACGCCGGGTTTTATCTGAGGTTTTACCTTCAGGCTTGTTCGAGATGGTGGGAGTAACTGAATTCCAACCCGACCCGAAACTATTATATTCAAGTTTAATTTCATTAAATAATTAATATAATTAAAATTAAAAAATATAAATTAATTTTTTTTTAAATAAAATTAAAGTGTATAATATTTTTTTAAAAAAATAAAAGTAATATAATAAGTTGGACAGACGGAAATGGAAAAGTGGACACGACAAGTGAAACGGAGGGAGTATAATTTTTTCAAAAAGTATCTGGTGTATTTACTTGTGCGATTTTAGTTTTATTATTCTAATTTTTTTTCATAAAAATATTTAATCAAACACTTATTTTTTATTTATTATATACATTAAAATTTAATTTTACAGTCAATACATATTAATATCACATCAAGCTATTATTTCAATTTAAAATTTTATTATTCAAAACCAAAACTTAAAACCAAAATTCCACAAATAAAATACTCTCTCATTCACACCGAAATACTCGTATCCGTCCTTTAAAACAAAGTATTTATTTCTATTTTTAGAGGGTGTTTGACTTAACTGTTTGGTAAATTAGCTTTAATCTATAAAAAATTAACTAGCATTTTGAAATAATTTTTTCAGTTTAAATTTTTTTATTTTTTATTTGCCCTTAAAAATTAAGCATGCATTTTACACAAATAAATATATTTTGATTATTTATTAATTATATTAAAATATTTTATTATATTATACTTTTACTTTTATAAATTTAAAATAATTAATTTTTATATATAAATTATTTTAATTATAAAATATATAAATTTATTAAAATCAATACAAAATAAAAAATATAAATATTAATAATTTATTTTTATATTAAAATTACATTATATAAACTTTATACAAAAAATAAATTAAATTTATTGAAAATTATAAATATAATGAACTAATCAATAATTAACATAATAAATATATACACGAAAAAATTATTATTTTATATTTTACATCATTTTTAATTAAAAAAAAATATTTATATTTTTCAATAAAAAAATATTATTTTTTAAATCTAACTATAATAAAAACAAATACTAGTAATTTTATAACACTTTTACAATTATCAATAACTAATAACAAAAAATTTCAAACATTCTAAACTTAAAAGAACACAATTGAATATATTATAAAAAAAAATAAAATAAAAATGTCCTCAATTGTCATTTTACGTATAAACAGCTAATATCAAACAATTATTTTACCATACATTTTAATATAAACAGCTAATCGAATCAGCTAGTCAAAACAGCTAATTCAATAAGCTAACAACTATCAAGTAATTGAATAAGCTAACGGCTAACAACTATCAGTTAATTGTCAAACGCACTCTTAGTAATTGTACTATCTACCTAATATTACAAATACTCTTTCAATTTACAATATATTACACAAATATCATTACTTTTATATCATACAATATTAATAAGAAGGTTAGTTTAATCTTTTACATTTATTTCTACTACATTCCAATATAATACTAATATGGATAAATTATATTACACTCATTTGTATTTTAGTAAAAATGTACAAAACACCATATGTTCTATTTATTGCGTGAAATCCCATTGTGTTAATGTAAAATTTGCACGAAACACATTCCTTGTTCAAAACTGATATTTGGTTTTAAATGAACAGATACATTACGGAAGTTTTATACAAATAAAAAATATAAAAAAATCTTAAATAATTTTTCTAATAAAATAAATAAATAATCAATCATTTATTTTTATAATTTTTGTAAAAATTAGATAACTATTTATCTGAAAAAATTACATAATAAATGATTAATCAATTATTTATTTGCAAATTATGATTCCGGTTGATAACCAACGACACCTTTCCGGCAGATCTATGAAGATCTCTCTATATGCCTCTCAATCGCACTATCGATGGTCTTTTCCCAATCAAATATTGGGCGAACATCATTTCTCGCATAATGTACTTATTCTGAAAGTCACTTATGTGTTTACTCGTGAGATTTTGGTTTTTGGTTTTGGTTTTGAATAGTAAAATTTTGAATTGAAATGGTTGTTTGATGCGATATAAATATATATTGACGTGATATTTTGAATATAAAATTTAATTTTAGTATAATATAATAAATAAAAAATAAGTTTTTGATTTGACGTTACATTGATCCCAAAACTCAGCCAATATTGTAAATGGGTGTCTGATTGATGCCGTTGAGAAAAATAAGAACTTATATATTGTTGGCAGTTTAAAATGGATAACCAAGAGTTAAAATTGCATATAGAGGTGTTAATTTTAGCTATTCAATCACTAATTTAAATATTTGCTAAATTAATTTTTTTAAAGTCCTTGTTGGACTATAATATTTAAAAGTACTTATCTATTTGATGGGTTCGGATCTCCTATCCAGCACATCTCCCTATCGCTCCTGTCCATCGGATTGCAGAGCGACAGGTGTTTCCTTACCCTTTTTTGTTTTAAATAAAAATTAAATTTTTATTACAATTTACAATTTTACAATAGTCATTTTATTTCTCTTTCAATCCTAAATATAATTTTTATTTTGTTTGAACGACGCAGCAATTCCATCGCCTCGCTCGCCGCCTGCCGCTGGTCACTAACTAGGCCGTCGCCGCCGCTCTCTTCTTTCGGCCATCGTTGGAAAATTTCTCAAGAGGAAGCACCATAGAGGAACTAAACAATATATTTATATGCATTCAACATTTTTCATTTATTTGTAAAATAAATTTATGTTAATTATAAAAAAGTAAATTATTTTTTATTTATTTGGATTATATATATAAAATTTTTTTATAGAATAGTATATATTTTAATAAAAATATAGTTATTAAAATAACTAAACACATATTTTAATTTTCTAAAATTTTATATATTACATCATAAATAAAATTTAATTAAATCAATTACTTCCAACTGAATGATCAAATCGGTAACTATGTTTCAATGTTTCACAATAGTTTTTTATTCTTGTTTTCTCTATTTATTACTTGTACTTGTACAATAATCCTCTGATTTACATACATATTAATATACTTTTTACTATATTATTTATTAATTATTTTAATATATTTATATTTTTACTAAATTATTAATTTACTTTTATAAATTGAAAGTAATTACAATCATTAATTTCATGTAAATTATTTTATTTATAAAATAATCAAATTTGTTAAAATTAAGGAAAAATAATATATATAAATATAGAAATATTTTTATTTTTTATATATATTTTTTTTTTTATCACATATTTATATTAAAAATATATAAAATAGAATAAATTTACTTGAATTTATATAAGTTCAGTGAAATATTGATGGTGTGTTCATTTTGCAATTAAATACATGTTTTCTTTAAAAAATATATATTACAAAAGTGAATTATTTTCCATATTAGTTATATCTAATGTAAAAAAATATCATTTAAACAATTTCACAAAACAATTATACCCGGAGATTATCAATACCTAATAACAAAAAAAAATACTAAACAAAACTAAATATTTTCAAAATAAAATATAAAAAATATACATATAAATATTTAGTATTAAAATTTTATTTGATCAAATACTTTAACACAAATGTTTATTATATCTATTTAGTCAAATCAGTTGACATCTACTAGTTAATTGAATCATCTAAAAATTAACAACTAATGACTAACTATTATCAAATACTCCCATCAATCCAATTTAGCCATCTTTATTCTTGTTTTTCTTGATCTTTATTTATTCATGTTCTTAATATTTATTCAGATTACTTGGCTCGAATTTTATATCATTATTGTTTATGCTTTAATTTTTTAAATATTATTTAAATTCAATAATTAAATCATAAACGCAAGTTCATGTTATTTTTTTCTTATATTATTACACAATTTCAAATAATTTCTAAAAAAATAGTGGAGGATTTATTTGATTTTTGACTGACTTAGATCGGTAAGCAGTCAACAAATTATTTTGAACGACAATAAAAATATTTTAAAAATAAAATTTGAAATTCTATCACTTAATTTAAAAATAAATAAGGCAAGAGACTATGGACAAATATTATCATTACACTTCTTATTTTTCTATCAACTGGTCTAACATATCGGAGTTTAAACCCGTCATCATAGTAGCAACACAATCAACAAAATAGTGACGGTATAAACTTGAAGCCGGTCAGACCAAGAAAGAGAATTTGAAGGTGAATAGCACCAAACCTAACAAAAATTTACTTGACTTCTATCTCAACACAATAAGCCTAAAGATAATAGATTGGAAATTGACTTGACTTTTATTTTATAGCAATTTGCTGAGGTTTTGTTTTTGAGAAGTTGGAAGGTCTGTAGTCTCGACTGCTAATTGATCATCTTGTTCTTGATTGGTTGTTTGAGCGGCATTCATGTGTTGAGTGTCACTTTTGCAAATTTTCTGATGATGACCCTTTTTGTTGCATTTCTCACACTTTTGATCTGATCGTTTCCAACATTTGAAAGGTGGATACCCTTTCTTTCCACAATGATTGCAAGGGGGAAATTCAGACGGCTGGTCTTGCCGTTTCCAGCACTTGAAGGGTGGATGTCCCTTCCTTCCACAATGTTTGCAATGAGGAAAATTAGGCTTTGTACCCTTTAGTGTATTGTGAGAATCAAAATTTGAATTTCCTTTCTTAGCTTGAGTACTCTGATTTTTTGCAACTAATGCCCCTTCAACTGATTCTTCAGATCTCATCAACCTTATTTGCTTTTGTGATTGCAATGCTTGCGTCAATTCTGTCAAGCTCATTCTTGACATATCTTTAGTATTTTCAAGTGGAGATATAGTGGCTTCAAACCTTTCAGGAACAGTTACTATAATTTTTTGAACTATTCGAGAATCTGAAAGTTGAGAACCAAGAAGTCTTACTTTGTTTGCAATTACGAGCAATCGGTCAGAGTACTCTTTCACAGTTTCAGATTCCTTCATCCTTTGAAGCTCAAACTCTCTCAGAAGGTTCATAACTTTCATTCCTTTGATCCTTTCATCTCCTTCGTACTCTTTAAAAAATTCCCAGACTTCATACGCTGATTTCAATGTCATGATTTTGACAAAAATTTCTTGTGAGACAGCGGAAAAGAGTGTTGCCTTTGCCTTTTACTTTCTTGTTTTCTTCTGGGTGTGATTCCGAATTTGCGCCATAGTTGGATTTTCAGGTAATTGAGGAACTTCGTAGTCCTCTTCTACTGCTTCCCATAAATCATTTGCCTCCAAATGAGCCTGTATACGTGCAGCCCAGATTTGGTATCCTTCCCCGTTGAACACTGGCGGTGCCAGCGCATTGAAGGTAACTTCTAAATCCATAGTGACTTCGAGTCGATCAAAGGTCCCTTAAAAAGTAAGCTCTGATACCAGATTGTTGGTTTATTTTAGGAATTAGAAGGAGAAAAAAATTGAGAAACTGAAACTTGATCTATTGTTTATTCGCTTGAGGAGAGGCTATATAAATAGAAATAAAAAACTGAATCACCCTAACTAAAAGCTAGGAACAACCCTAACTAAGTTATTTGAAATAGTCCACAAATTTTAAAAAACTGAAACATAAATAAAATAAATAAAATAAAGTTGACGCAGCAGATTAAAGCACGATTTCAACAATCGCATTGAATTACATTGGTGATGAAACCAACGTAGATTTAGTTGTATTAATACAATCATATTTTAGAATGATAAGATTGAAAAACCGGTAAGTAATGTGTCATGGTAAAAATTTGGACGAGCTCTGATCTTGCTATTAAATAGGAAAGATGACATCTGATATTTTTGTATCGATTACAAAAAGTTAAATAAAGTAATAATTCCAGACAAACATTCTACTGCAAATAGTAGGAGCATCGAAAGCCTTAACACAAGTTGAATGCAGTTATACATACGACATTATGGCCCGCCCGACCACTTAATACATTAGTAAAAATAACCCTTGATCTGGCCTAGTGTAATTTGTCTTGTCGAAACTAGTTTACAGGATATTAGATTCGGCAGAAAATTTACCCAATATGCACTTTCGAATAACGATTTCGTATTTTCACGTCATAAAGAAAAGACCCTCGATCCGAGTTTAAACTTTCATTAATAATATATGTTTTCACAATTCTTTTATTGTGTCTCCGATCATTATCTTTTTCTTATTAAATAAACTTATTCTATTTATAAGTAAGGCCTGTTGCTATTATTATTATTATTATTATTACTCTCTGACCCTTTAAAAAAGTAAAGCCTAGTAAAAATAATGTTAGAATGACAAAAATAATATTATTAGTGTTGTATAATATAAAAGTAATATCATTTGTATAATGTATCATAAATTGTAAAAGGTTGTTTGATTCATGGACTTTTTTAGTGGGATTGAGATTTCACAGTAGAATTTACATGCGATGGGAATTATTATATTTAGGATTTGGAATCCCATACTAGGTTTGGTTGGTAAAATGTGGTGGGATTTATATTTTGTAGATTTGGATTTTTTATATTCTAAATGACATAATTGTCCTCTTATTAATTTTATTTATTTTGACAAATTAAACCTCTAATTCATTATTAATATAAATTGAAAAGATATCAATTATAGAATGACAATAGATTCGCGTAAACTCGAGACCCGACCGAGCCCTACCTATTTATTTGAAGTTGAGTTCAATTATTTGAGTATCAGGCCTGGATCTGCATCATGATTAGGGTAATATAATAATAATATATCAACCAAACATATCAAAAAATAATTTCGAATAATATAGTTATATTAAAAATATTTTTTGAGTTTAACGTATTCATTATTTTATTATAATATTTTTCTAATTAAATACATAAATTTTAATATACATTGGATCCGGTACATGTGTAATTTTAAATTAAAATTTAAGAATTGTAAAAAAATGGATTTTTCGGATCCATCAAGTCTTACCGAGTATAGTCTCGGTCAGATCTAGTATAATCGGATCCAATTTGAATATCGGATTTAACAATATATATTTGAGATGAATATCAGTTCCGACTGAACTTGACTTATGGTCGTCCCTATAATTTTATAATTCAAATAAAATTCATAATAAATAATAATTTAAACAATGAATTTATTAATTTATTTAAAAAATATTGTATAATAAAAAATAATATAAATTTAATTAAGTATATAATTCAAATAATAACTAATGTTAAAATTATTTAATTTTTTATATAAATATAATACTATTATTTTTTTTATAAGAGGATATAAATGTAAAAATTAAAATTTTAAGAATAGAATTTAAAATTATCAGGAGTATCCCATTACAAAAAAAATTCTTTATTTGAAGGATTTTAGACCTATTTTTCAAATTCCATCGTTTTAAATTACACCCTTTTTTTTTTTTCTTAACGAAACATGAATTTCATAGAATTTTAAAATCCAAATCTCATTCTTGAAACAAACAGCCCTAAGAGTATTTCTAATATTAAATATAATACAATTACTTAAAAAAAATAAAAAAAATGATATTTTATTATATAATACAGAGCAAAATAAAAATAATAATAATAATAATAATTTGTTAAAGAATAAAAGAAATACTATTATTTTTCCTTTGAGTCTTGTTAAGTACTTATAAGGGCAACTAGGCTTCGAAAATTTCACCCCCTCATTTTGAAAGAAAGGAAGGAGCTGGAGGTGGAGGTGGAGGCGGTTATTGAGCAAACGGTAAACCTACCTTTTTTACTAGTGTTGTAATTTCATAAATCCTGCTTTCTTCTATAAAACCAACAACATTTACAAGAAATGAAAATCGAACCACACTTGACACTAGCAAACAATCCTCCAACTAGGACTATACCTTAAATTTACAAATTACTATCATAACAATAAGAGGACTAAGTAACATGTCGTAAATTATATACTCAATTCATCCAAGACTTGCTTACCCTTTTTCACTATGATGTTACTTACACACACTAAGAAATGAAATACATAAACAAACAAACAAACAAACAATCAGCCATGGCAGAACTCAATTACACTATTACAAGGCAGGCAGGGCAGGGCAGCTATTATCATGCGGCGGATGCATATTACAAATGACAAACAACTATTCACTCCAACAATCCAACAGACAACATCACAACATAGGCAATGTCCAAAATTGAGACACTGTTTGTCTTCGCAAACATTCGACTAAAATAATTAATCAGGAAAAAAGGAAAAAATTTCAAGAGAGCAGCACTAGTAGTATATCATAGCAATGGCTTCAATCTTACCTGTGCCTGCAGTTAATATGATGCTCCTCACCTCTTTTTGTATTTGCTTCTATTCACTTTCACTATCCTCCGCCCCGACTTGTCGCCAGCTCCACTTCCCAAGGAGAAGCTTCCGCCAGCAGTTAATTCCAGACTACCTGTTCCTTGAAAAGATGATGGATTCGGTGGAGCAGCTTGATTTTGTTGGCTGGCAAACATGAAGGGATTATTAGGTTGTGATGGAGCAGTCGATCCAAATGTGAAGCCTGAGGAAGGAGCTGCTGGGGAGACAGATGGTTGACCAAATAAGGATGACTGCACGGGATCCTCAGCCATGCTGTCTTCGGCGTTCATCTGATCATTTCCTAGAGTGGATCCAAAAGCATTGACCGGGGGATTACCAAATACAGGTGGGCTGGCAGCAGGTAATGATGGTGATGCAGTGGCTGCCGCGTTAAATGAAAAGAAGGGGCTTTGCGTGGCACCAGCATGCGAGTTAAAAGACATCGGTGCAGTACTTGCAGCAGCAGACGCGGATGATGCCCCAAAAGAAAATCCTGATGTGGTAGAACTGGAACCAAAATTCGAAGATCCACTGCTCTGCCAACCGGAGCCAAAGACATTAGCAGCAGAACTGGAGCTACCTGTGTTGACTGCTGCAGAAGCAGTGGAAGAACTCCCGCCAAAAGTAAATATCCCAGAAGTTGCAGAAGTGGAAGAGCCGGCGAGAACTGAAGAGTTGCCACCGAAGTTGAACTTCGGGAGAGCTGTAGCGCTGTTTATTAAAGCTGAATCAGTCGTTGAAGTAGAAGAAGTGCCCGAACCAGAACCAGAACCAGAACCAAAGCCAAAACCAAAACTAGGAGTGGACGCACTGCTTGAGCTGACCACATTTCCTTCAGTGACAGGACTACCACCAAATTTGAACACACTTGCTGATTGCCCGCTGCCAGGGGCAACAGTGGTGGTAGATGATGCGGCCGAAGAACTAAAGCTAAAAGCAGGTGATACTTTCGGATTGGAAAATGAGGAACCAGAGGCATTACCATTCATACTGAACAATGGAGCTGATGCCGAAGAAACTGATAAAACCGGTGTTCCTTGAGAGACAGTTCCAGGTGATAATGTAGGAGGAGTAAATGAAAGAGATGCACCTTGAGAGAGAGTTCCAGCACCAGACTCGGTAGATTTAGAAGCACTGCTGAATAGTGAACCCGGAACACTTGTAGTATTAACAGATGAACCAAGCCCAAAAGTTATGCTTTTTTCAGGATTTGCTGCCGGTTGAGCTGTAACACTGGAATTTGGGATGACTGTGCTACCAGGACTTGGGTTTGTGTCAACTTTGGGTTTTACTTCTGCCGGTTCAGTGATATTAGATACTGATGCCACTGGAGCTGAAGTTGTAGGATCCACTGATGTGCCAAACTTGAAATTTTGACCTTCTAAATTAGAAGGCTTAGCAGACAACCCCAAAATGCTTCCACTGGAGGTCGTCGTAGAGGTACTGGAGCTGAGACCAGATGGGGCTATGTTAGAAATGCTGGGAGTGGATGCAAAGAAGAAACCACTTCCTGTAGATGCCTGATTTATATGATCAAAAGCGGCGGAAGAGAATCCTGTAACATGTTCCCCCTTTCCATGTAAAACAGTATCGGATTTGTTATTTGTATCTCCTGCCTTCGGAGGGCTTAGATGACCAGATTTGTCCAAGTCAGGAATTTTTAGTTGAGATCCAGCTGATGTAGAAACATTGAACAACCTGGATAGACATAAAAGTTGAACAAAAGGGAAGTCAAAAATCAAGAAAACTTAACAAGACAAATTGTATTTTGGAATGAAAATTTATCATTCTACTATGATCAAATTGAGAAGGGTGAAGTTTAGTACACTTTGTCCACCAAATTTGTGCCATCACATTCATGCCTGTTTCTCTTGTTTGTTTGTCCATAGAAAATATGCACTTTCCACTAATAGTAAAAAATTCTTACTTGAATTCAACAATGCACTTATTTACAAATATGGCACAACATTTTATACACTCAATTAATCTAAAATTTTCGCTCACGTCATTAATTCACTCGTATACTTCACAAAATACCCTTAATATCACAATCAACCAATATAATATTATCTTCATTAAAATCCGTGTCCAGCTCCAACGAGCATATGATTGGTGAATGAAGGAGTAACAAATAACTCATAACATAAACATCAGACTGTAAGAAAGTAGTTCAGAACCTGAAGTAAAGAGTTAGAGAACTCAAAATGAAAATTATTGATTTGAAGTCCATATAGGGATTCCCAAATGTGTGCTCAAAGATCTCAAAGTAATGGTTACTTGTCATACTCAAAGTCGAGAAGTTTAAAATGATTAATAAAAGTAAGCAACCAAACAGTGATGTGAAATCAGCGCCTATAGAAAGGTGCACATATGCAAATTCCTTGAAAACATAAAAAGTCTTAGCAAGCAGAAGAAAATAAATTCCACAATTCTTCAAAAATGACAAGCAACTAACCTGCTGGAGCTCTCCACAGCAGATTCTTTCGTATTGGATTCAGAGGGCAAGGCAGGGAACTTATCAGAAAATTTTGAGCTAGGGCTGAATACTGGAGAACTAGTTGATTCCACAGGTTTTTCAGAAGTAGCAAACTTGAAAGGAGGAATTGCTGAGTGGGAAACCACAGCAACTTCTGATGCTTGGATTGCCGTTTCTACCGACTTGGATACTTCTGGAGGTGCAGGCTTGCTGTCTGTTACAGGGGCTTTCACAGGTTCTATCTTTTCAGAGAACAGAGTAGGTGCAAGCCCATTACTATGCACTTCATCATCCGGCTCCAAGGAATCCTATAAAATCACAGGAGCATCTCAGAAGTTCAGAAATTTTCATCCTATTCATTGTCAGGTATGAAAAAGCACACATGGAAATCATAATTAATGCAGAGGAAAATTGCAGCAATAGGTACAACTCGGATCAGTGAAGTGGGGAAATACACACTATGTAGTCACAACTCACAACCAGTACAGAGAAGCATCACAGGATAAGGTATGCCAATGAAACGAAACTTCTGATAGCAAGATAGTATACCTGTAATGATTAGACAGGCAAATGCAATGTACAGGATACTTCAACATTGCCTACCTACAGAGACAATATATAAAAAATATCACCACCTTACCTCTTGTGCGCTCATTCGAAATGCTCTCTTCTTTGGAGGAGGTTGAGTTGTCCCATGTTCAACATACTCAATTGTTTTGTTGGCACCGAAAGAAGTCTGAAGCGATCCTGCAGAATCATTCTTCATTACAGGATTCCAAATGCCAGAAGGAACAACAGGTTCCTTAGGGCCATTTTCTTCAATGTTCCTTGCCTTTTGAGAAGAAAAATTGCGAGTGACAGGTAAGGTGGCAGTGGAAGTGTCACCTAATTTATGATCATGTGGGTCACCCATTAGCAACTTCGACGGATCCACATCCTCCATGCTCCTAGAAGTCTGTCCTGTAAGCATCCCTGATGTCAATTTCATTTGTGACTTCTCGCGTGCAGAACCTAACTTGGATTCTGAAGATTTTTCCTTTGGAGTCAACTTTTCAAGGTGCTGAAATATTCTGGCAGCCACCTCAGTAGATTTGGAAGGTACACAAGCACGACTAGTAGTCAGGATACTTTCACTTTCAGTTTCCCTGCCTGCTTGCAAGACCTTATGACTTGGTTCACCAATCAATTGAAGCTTCTGATTTGTATGAGAATTAAACCCCATTCCATGAGTAATCTCATGGTTTTTTGATGCTAAGAGATTTGATTTCTGTCTAGTTCTCCGTACGGAACCAAATAAGCCAATTTCATCATTTAAGACTGAGCTCCTGCGCTTTAAGGTCTAAACATGCAAAAGATGTGTCATAAAAAAGCTGAAGATTACAAAAATGAAAATAGAAAATTTACAGATTGGCATGTACCATTGGCTGGGACTCAAGCTTTTCTCCATTCACCAGAGGCGAAAGTGTCGATGAAGACAGTGATGGCCCAGTATTACCACTACTGTTACTTCTACTTCCCTGATAAACAAAAATAAAGTGAAAGAAAAGTAAATAAGCACATGACAAAAAAATTTACAGGACATTGTTTTTTTCATAATATAAATCAAGTAAAAGAACCTTGAAAATGGAAGTAGGATGAGCTCTAGAATAAGGAGTGCGAGCCATGTTGTAAATAGCAGATCTGCCTCGAGATCTAGGGGTTATAAGAACATTTTCTGAAGCAGCAAGGCCAACAGGAGTTTTATTGGTCAAGGAATTGAGAGGCATTTTTGGTGTGAATGGAGCATTACTATGCAATCCAGTATCCTCTGTTCCACCTTGATGTCGAACTCCGAGCACGGATGAGCCTTTTGAAGGCCTGCTACCCATATAAGCTTTAGCCAGCTCAGCAGGAGTTGCAATATCATCCTCAAGGACCTGAGATATTCTTACAGCAATTTCAAGATCATTGTGCTTTCATATAAGAAGAAATATAAGAGAACAAGTGACTAGAAACACCACCAGTATCAGAGTGCGCAGAGCATTTACAAAGACTTACTTTTGAGTTACGAACATGGGCCGTAGCAGATCTAATCCCAAAATTTCTGTTTTCATCCAAAGGACTGGCCTTAAGTTGGTCATGCCCATTAATATCAGAAGCAGTCACTTCATTCCTTTGATCATCATCCCCAGCAGGCGCTTCCAGAGCTTTTGACTGAAGTAACTTTGTCAGATGAGAGATTTCTGACCTGAAAAAACAGGATACCATTTGTGAAACCAATTGAAAAAAGAATCAGACGAGAGTCTATTGTGTACTTAAAAAAGTAAACAAAAAAATAAAAAAATAAACGAAACATAATGCCATACAACAAAATAATCAGGGAGTGGTTTCACAAAATGTAGTTGCAGATTCTGCATTTAAAGCTGATTCCTGTAGGTTGAGAGAGTAAATTTAGACTATTCAGAAAATCTCAAGACATCAAACTTAATCAGACTAGAACAGCAAAGCGGCAATACAGGAGGTATTTGATTTGGTACAAGAATATGAGAATTAAGAATTGGGGTTATCTGCAAGCCTGTTGTCCTGCTCGTAAGGATAACATAATCGATGGAATAATCAAAACACTCCCATGGAGTTTGGATGTCGGAAGCATAGCAAGTCCCAATCAAGAATTCAAGATTGGTACAATTCTGATTTTTATAAACAAACTAAACATTGGCATTATTATTTAAAAAGCGCAACCATATAACCTATAAAGTACAGTTTTTCAGCAAAGCCACACAGTTTCATTGAGGTGCACGAAGCAGAAATTTGAGGCAAATTTATCCCTCTGAAGACTTTTAGAGTATTACCTGGAGAAGGTCTTTTGTTTTAATAACTGCTCAAGCTCATGCATTTCATTGCTCCTGGGCTTACTTGGGACACTAAATGTTCCATCTGCTGGCTCTTGAAGACTTTCCTGAACCTTCAGCCATTTTCAAAAGCAAATAAGAAATCATTTCCATCAAATTTGAGGTTAAAAACACACCACTACATTGCTCAAAACAGTAGACAGACATCGTAGGATTATAAACAATATTCTACACAAGTTTGCAAGCTATATTACCCAAAATCAAAGGTTCAATCTAGTGCAGAACGAATAACCTTGCTTGAATAGCTGTCCCATTCTCACCACACTGTTAATGGGATATAATGTGTTGCAGTGCATAGTCTAACTAAAACCATGCAGCACAACACATGATGCAGGCACAATTATGGGACAATAGTGAAAAATGAAAAATAAGAATCATCTATCATATTAATATTTTTCAACTTCTCAAATTATAGAACTCCACATCATAAATAATCACCACTTTTTTTTTAACGTGAAACATTACATGAAAAAATAATGAAATTGTAACCAATTATAAAGGGTTAAGAAAAGGAACAAAAATATAAAAATTAAAAATAGATCCCACATAGATTTAGCACCATAAAATAAAAGCCTACGATTCCACAATATCCCTATTCTACCACCCACCCTCACCCCTAAAGCAAGCACACTTTCCAAAACCATGTGAGTAGCTATTAAACACCTCATATAAAGACAGTGGCAAGATATAATGAAAGGGAGAAAATAATAAACAAAACCCACATCAAGATTTTAGAAATCTTCCTAGAAGAGAGGAAAAGGCGAGGAATAGAAAAGATCTACTTAGGATACAAATGAGCCAAAAAAAAAAAAAAAAAGAAAGAAAAGTAACACAACTAGGATTGAAGAAAAATGTCGCATAGAAATGAAGGAACTCCCTAGAACCAAGAAGCGAATGAGGAGTTAAAAGGAATATAGAAACTGATACAGAAAGTTATGAAATGAATATTTTACCTCTTTAAAAATTATTTTAAAAATAAATAACTGGGCTTCGTTAAAACAGAGGGGGGAAAAGAAAAGAAATCCTAAAAGAACTTCCGTTAATTTAGAAAAGATAGCTCATAGATAGACACCAGCATCTTTCTCGAAGAGAGGAAAAATATTGAAACATGTTTCTACAGTCATTGATTCAATTCATAACATGCCTATATGGTAGCACAGTAACATCCAATAGCAACTGAATCTAGAATTGCTTATTTCTTCTGTTCGATATAGTCATCCCACTCCAGTACACAACTTTTTCTGGGTGGAAAAAGATATGCTTATAAAAGATACATCCAATTTCACCATTAACGCTTCTCCAACCCAGTACAAGGTAAATCCACTCATTATTTCAATCTTTTTATATAGACAAAAAAACGTAACGGTCTGCTAGCATAAGAGTTAGCTATTATGATATTTTTATGATCTAACAAAATAGTACACAGATGCATTTGGGTAAGGCATACATCACAATGTTACGTAAGAATAATAGGCAGCAGAACAAATATCAACTGGGCATCATTTTGATATATAAATAGTAACATAAATTTATATACGATAAACATTATTAAACTTACATTAAGAACCGTCCCTTGAACCCCATCAGTCACATCATTGTTCACCTCTGTTCACATAAAAAAATTATACATTATAAACTACCCAAGAAAATAAATCATATAATTCATATAAAGAAAGCAAGTGCAAAATGTGCTGCTCAGAGCATCCAGTTCTCATTCCAATGATGGATAAGCATACCAAGAAACATTTCTGCATTTGGATCATTGCATTAGACATGAATGACTGACCCAATCCAGTAACAAAGACTGGATTGGCTAATTTTACTATCATTAAAATCAAGACCTTGAGTTTGTTTGTTTTGTGAAATGATTTGAAGGGAATTTTATAGCAGACTCCACATATGACTTGAAAAACAATATATAGATGCACTAGCAGAAAGCAAATACATAATATGTTCGTATTAATATTGCAATTAGTGTTAGAATAACAAATGCATCTAGGACCCAATAAAACATCTGAGATAGTAGATATCAAAAACACATAAAAATAAATAAACGACTTATTCGCCAAATAAGAAAAAGCAGTGCCAAAATCAAAGCTGCCAGCAACCAACTATACAGATCAAAACAAAATTTCAATTTCACCCCAATTATCAACTACTCCAAGCAAAGCACTGAAATGAATAAATTTAAAAAAGTAAAAACCCTAAATGATATCACAATACACAAACTTGCTATAACCAACTAAGTCATAAACAACTAAAGAATAACCATTTACAAACGCAGAAACAAACATATAACCTGGCGGCTGGGGAGGCGGCGGCGGTGGGGGGAGGCGTTTGCGGAAAACAGACGAGAAGAAACGGTTCGCACCATAGGAGATAAGCTTCGACGCGGGTGCAACAAAAAGCTTCGTCATCCAGCCGCTGCTCGTGTTCCCGTTGTTATTGGCTCCTCCTCGGTAGGCGGTTGGTGGACGGTCATACGGCGTCGGTTGCTTCCGAGAGAGCTTCTTCCGAAACTTTCCCCCCACCCCTCCGCCACCGTAGGAGGAAGCCATGTTGTTGGAAGGGGATCCGCCTTCTTCCGCCGTCGCCATTGATTCAATTTTGGAGAAAAATCGCGTGAGAGGGAAAGAGCGAAAGTGAAAATTAGGGTTTTTATTTTGGGCAGAGAGACTCACGGAAAGCGATGTCGTTCTATTAATAATAATATAAATAAATAGAAAATTATGGGCACCGAATATAGGGTTAAAAATTCAACCTTGTCCCGGCTTCCTTTCATCCTTGTTTGGTCCGTTTAAAAATATTTTAACTTTCACCGTTATAAAAAATATATTGGTATATTTTTTTTAGATGAGTGTAAAAAAAAATTGATTTAAATTTGATATTAAAATAATGTACGATAAAATATTATGTGAAAAATATATATATATTTTTTAAAAAAAATATATAGCTCAAATAGTAAAAATTTGGATTTTAGCAAAAGAAACATACCATATATATATATTTTAACTTTTAAATAAAAATAAAAAATATTCATTTTCTAAAAAATTTTCACTAATTATTTTACATAAAATATCATCTTTAACTAATTACTTAAATAAAAGAATTAAAATTAAGCTTTTAAATAACATAATCAAGTTAGGACGGAAAAAATTATATAGATACAGTAAATGAGATTTATTTGTGTGGTGTTATAAATGTTCTGGCTAAACCTATTGAGGATAGAGGTGAAATTTTTACTCTCAAACTATAATATATTACCTTCGTCATATTTATCATGTTCATATTTTTTCATTTACATTCGTTTCACTTTTTTTTTTCACTTTTTTTTCTTAGAAAATAATTATATACTTTAATGTTATTTTAATCTTTTAAATTTTAATTTATAATGTTATTTTTATGATTTTAATATAGACTAATTAGCTTCCGGCCCAAAGAATGAAAATTTTCAATCTTTTTTTATTTCAAAATTCTATTTGGATTAGACAATAAAAAAGAACTTGAGACTCCCCAATATATATATATATATATTGTGCACTTTGAGTTTGGCTTGATGTGATTTTTGATTTTATGATCTTTGGGTGCTTGTCATGGCTTTTTATTTTTATTTTTTCAATTATACCAGGTGTGGATCTAAATATACTCTTTATTAGTATATACATACTTTGATCTTTCCGAGAAAAAAAAATATATATATGGGTGGTCATTTGTAATTTTGGATTGATGTATTTTCTATATTAGGTACGAAAAATTGTATTATTAATATAAAAATTAATTTTTTGTGTTGGATTGTTAAATTTTTTAAACGAATAAAATAATATATATTATATATATTATGTCATTTTGTATATTTATTATTATTATTATTATTTATAGGAAATTGTCAAATTAAAAAAAAAAAAACAAAGTAAACAAACCCAAAATTTTTTATCGATTCAAAAACAATTTAAGTTTGTTTGTTTTGTCAAAAAAAAAAAAATTCAATACATTTTTCCCCCAAAAAATTATATATATGTATATATATATATACTACACACTAATTATATTTATATTACCTATATAATTACTTATCCCTAACATAAAAAAACAAAAAAATAAATAAAAAAAAATTCAAACCAAAATACAAAACAAAAATACATTGACATTACCTGAAATTTAATATGAATTATATATCTACTTTTAGTGAGATGCAAATATTTTTTAATGTAAAAAATAATTTTAAAATATAGATGTATTTCCATTATAAGTCAGCTCTTATATCCCATATTTTAATGGTCATTTAAAAACTAATACGATAAAATTAAAAAAATATATTAGTTAATAGATCTCCTTTAAATATTTAGAATTGCTCGATAAACTTTGAGTGTTTGTGTATATTTTTTTTTAAAGTATTTACTCTCTTCGTCTTAGATATTTTGTCTCTATTACTATAGATACGAGAATTTAGGTGAGGGTATAATTAGTAAATATAGGAATATGTTTAATGGTATAACATTTCACTTGGGAGTTTATCACAGCAAAAATGACACATCATTTTCCCACCAATTATACACCTAAAAATAATTTCTCAAAATTAACACAAGCCACAAGATTACTAAACGTTGAAATTAATATCACACATATTCTCTTACCAAAACACAACCTAAAATTATTCTCTCCCAAACAAAATTACCCCTTAAAAAAAATCTCATTTTTTCGAAGCTGCAAGGAAATTTAATTACAGTTATAGAACTATTTCAAGGCATTGGAAATCAGCCGAAGAGAATAAAGGTAAAGGAGAGGATATTTTTTCGTATAGAAAAAAAATATTGTCAGAAAAGACAAGATCATACCCAATTTGGCGAAAATCGAGAGATTGTTCGTGCTGTAGCAATCCTCAATCAGAACCCTAGCAAAGGGAATGCAATGCTCAAAGTCAATTGTGCATAGACGGGTTAAAGAAAAACAAATTCGAGCTTATACAAGTGCAATTACGCCAGAACTTACCGAGACCAACAAATTTGCAAGGTTATATTTTTCTTTACAAGCTCTAGATTGTTTTCGGTGCATTGAAATGCACAATTTCAAAGTATGGAAAACATAGTTCATATCGATAAAAAATGGTTTTATATATCCAAGGCTAGCCATCGATTTTATTTGACCACACTAGAAAATGAACCACACGGAACATGCAAAGGTAAAAAGTTCATTTGTAAGATTATGTTTATGTGTGTTGTTTCACGACCAATATGGAACAATGATGGATCTATTTTGTTCGATGGAAAAATTGGGATATTTCCATTTACTGAAAAAGTCCCAGCAATGCGGTCAAGCAAGAATCGTGTTGTTGGCACATTGAAAACAAAACCAATACAATCTAAACAAAAGAATTTATAAGAAGTTGTTTGATTACTCAGATTAGCAAATATTTTTAGTTTTTAACATTATTAAATGTAATAAAATAAAATGTAGAAGTATTCTACTCTCTTAATTAGAGTGGAAGACCCAACATTTTCTTGTCATTATTGTGGCATCTAATTCGATGGATATTTACAGCTCAAAAGATCTAATTAGTCTCTGTTTTATTATTTTGCAGATTATCCCAGCAATCAAAGAAAAGTGGCCACTTAAAAAATCTAAATATATTTTTATCCAGCAAGACAATGCGAAGCCACACATTAAGGGGGTGATGCAGAATTCTTAAATGCTGCAACTACAAATGGTTTTCATATTTTTTACATTCAACAACCTTCTAATTCTCCAGATATGAATGTTAACGATTTAGGATGGTTTCGAGCGATTCAAAGTTTACAAATAGAAAAGACATGCAAGAATGTGGAAGAACTTGTTGAAGCAATTCTAACAAGTTACAACGAATTGACACCGGAAACGTTGAATAATGTATTTTTAAGTTTGCAAAATGGTTTGATTGAAGTAATGAAGATAAAATGAGATAATTCGTATAAACTGTCACATTAAAAAAAAGATAGTTTAGTCAGAAAAAGAAATATGCTAACACAGTTCACTGTTCCAATGAAGTTGGTTCACGAATGCATTCAATATCTGTTGGAAAATGGATATGTGAATGGGATTGAAAAGGTAATGATTGATTTAGAAAATTAGAGATAGGAATATGGCTTAAACATATTTCTTTGTAAATGTTTATACTTTAGTAAGCCTATAAAACAAATGTACAGGCTTACAGTGTAAACATATCGGATGGCTTAAATGAAAACATTTTGATTTTTTTTTTCTGATTCATTAATGTAGCTGTAAATATCAAAAGTATTTAGCATTGAATGAAATGCAATGAAAAGTATGTTTCCCCAATTTACCCAATTTGGTACTTAACAAAGTGAGTTGGTATGTGAAAATAATTTTCTATGAGTAGATGCTGAAAAACAACGAATTTGTGCCCAAACAGAATACAAAACAAAGGAATAGCCACGGCGTAATTTGCAAAACAAAGCACTGAGCATCACTGACATTTTTGCATTTATAAGTATAATTTTGAATCTAAAAATACTACCAAGGCATCGAAAAACTAATTCATGCTCAAAACACTTAATGAAGTCACGAATTGCATATCTACTCATTTTTGTAACCCACAGATAATAGATAACCCACATATAAGTTCAACCAGTTTAGGTTTTAGGAAGGATCTCACCAACGTCCTTATGAATGACATAAATGCAATGGTAGCTGGAATCGGGAAGGGGTAGGGATGTAATTTTCATCATGCTCGTCCTCTGAATCGGGAACATAGCCCAACTTCTCCCAAATATCTCTATTTTCTGGTGACATCGAAGGACCGCATTCACCGTCAACATCCTTCTCCGATTGGAAAAGTGGACGCCGAGGAGTTGTTGGCCTCTGTCTATGAAGTCCACTGGAGAAATCAACATCCAAGCCCAAGTCGAACGGTTCCTCCATATCCGGCACCCAACCTCCGTCGTCGTCACTCACCACTAGCTCATACCCGGAGTTGCGATACAGATCGGAGGCAACTTCAACTCCGACTAACGGGGGTGAATTGATCTCCCCTCTGATGGCCTCGTTCTGGACAGATCCATGGTCAGGAGGATAAACCACAGTGAAAGAAAAGCCACAGTTAGGGCAAAGAAGACATTACACACATTTAGGGTTTATGAGGGACGGTGGTGAGAGAGCGACGGAGTACGGTGGAAGGGGAAGAGGGCGACGGTAAGCGTCGGCGAGAGGGTGACGGATTCCGACGGCCTTATCCATGGCGGATTAAGGAGACGACAATAGACTATAACAGGTTTAAGGGATCGAAGAAAATTAGAAGAGGGTTTTTAGAGAGAGAAAGAAGATTGATGTATATGGGTGAGAGAATGAAAGTGTGTAAAATTTGTGGTGGGGTGGGTGTGTAGGTTGGGGTAAATTAGTATAATTAGGAATTTTAATTTTAAGATTAGTAGATATGAATATAATTAATGAGTGTCCAAAAAATAGAATGGACATATTATGTGGGACATCCCAAGAAGGAAAATAAGGTCAAATTATGTGGAACGGAGGAAGTATTATTTTAGGCGTTTTAATTGTAAAATATATGAAATTATGAAAATATATAGAAAATAATATTATGGGTGTGTTTGTCAATTAGCTGATAGCGGTTAGCTGTTAGCTCATTCGATTAGCTTTTAATTGTTAGCTTATTCGATTAGCTTTTAACTGTTAGCTGGTTTGAC